TGAAAAGACCATAAAGCCCTTGGCAGTCACAGTTCACAAGATATAACACTTACAGTTTGTTTATTTCATCAAGAAGCTTTCAAGAGAGAAACCCTAAGCTTTGTGAGAAAGATTCAAGAGTGAAATCAATCATCTTCCTTCCTCCACTCAAACAACTTAAGATCTATCTTTGAGAAGTGAGTGTGAGTGTTATTGTGGGTGTATTATAAACCCTAGAGTGCTTTAATCTTCATCTCTATCCACTCATTTAGTGAGTTCTTCAAGAGAGATAAAAACCCAAATTGTTCTTCAACAAGTTTGGGGAAAAACCCTAGATTGTGAATCTAGGTTAGGGTAATTGCGACTACACCCTACTACAAATCCAAGAGGTGGAATCTTGGTTGAAGGCTAAGGGACTTGTCTTCATTTCTTTCAAGTTGTAATCTAACACTAAAGGGATTGGTGTAGAGCTAGAGGAGGTTCACCTTAGCTTTGGGATTCTTAATACAAAGGAAGTACTTGGAGAGTGGATGTAGGCTTCAATGGCCGAACAACTATAATCTTGTCTTGTGGGGTTTGCTTCCTTTACTTAAGTTTCTTTATTGCTTTGTTGTTTGTGTGTTGTAAATCTCTACATCCTTCCAAACCAATCTTCTAGTTAATTTTTATTGTGGTAGAGGAAAGGGTGAGAGTGCATCTTTCTTTACTCACCCCCTCAACTCCACAACAAGTCAAGAACTAGAGTTGGATCACGTAGTTCATTAATTAAAGTGAATTTATTCATCTTGATCTAGTTGAACAAGTATCCAACGACTAGAAGGTTGTGTTGGTGTTTAGTGTAGAGATTAATAACCTACTCCATAGTTTTCATCATATTGATATATGCTTGTTGGTATTATCTCTTGTGAGTATATTGCTTAGGATTACTTTCCATATTCTGCATTTGTTTATCCTAAGCATTTTTGTTAATTAGTGTCAGTTTTTACTCTGAGTAAGTGACAGTTTTGTCTTTTTGTTTTCTCTTGGGAGTGATCTTTGCTAGCATATTTTTAAATAGACTATTCACCCCCCTCTAGTATATTGGACACCATTGTGTAAGGAATATCAAGACTTTCATCCTCATGTGCATTCGTTAATTTGTTTTGGCATCGAGAGAGAGAAAATATATAGGTTAATTATATATCTTTAGTTTAAAGGTGTAAAATCTTACTAGCTACCGACGTGTGTTTTTAAAACATCGAATCACCTGTTAGAGGATTTAATTTTTCTACATATTTGAAGTGGGAAAACTTCATTCTTTGGTTCCTTTAGTTAATTTAGATTAATTACTTTAGTTTGTTTGTTAGTTTATGCTATTGAGATACAGTAAAATATGTCATCTCTTAGGCTATGGAAAAAACACTTCACGATTTCTTCGTACCCTTGTCAAATGGACCTTCTAATTTTATAGTTTTGCCAAAATTACCTGAAGGGATTGATTTTCAAATTAATTGTGGCATCATTTCAAAGAAGACCCATACGCACATGTCTAGAGATTCTTCGGATATGCTCTACCTTCAATGAAATAAATTAGAACCGGAGTGTATACGTCTTAGACTCTTCCCATTCACATTAAACGAGAAAATTTAAAATGGTTTAACTCCTCATCCGAAAACTCAATTAAAACGTGGGAACAATTGAACTCTAAATTTTTAACAAAATATTCATGTCTAGAACGATAGATATTCGAAATAAAATTCAATTTTTAGACAAAAACCTAAGGAAGAATTTAACGAAGCTTGGGATAAATTTAATGATCTCCAATTACAATGTCCACATCATCAAATCCAATCGAGTCCTTAGTTCAATGTTTTTACATTGGATTAACTTCCGCTTCTCGATCCATGGTAGAATCCATTAATGGTGGAAATTTCTTAGGTTTAACTATTAGTAACACCATTGAATTATTTGCTAAAAGTTCTCAACAATATAACAATATTTCGAATCCCTATCTAGAAGTCAACAATTTAAAACCCCGACTAAAGAGGAAAGCAATGATGTCAACAAACTAATTAAAAACATGGTTGAAAAAGTTGAAAATCTTTACATACAAAACAAACAAGTTAACCCCACCATGAGTGTCAACATACTTAATTTGAATTACTCTTACACTGATCATATTAAAACCAATAACTCTGATTGGAGGGAACCGAACGAACTATATGAACATGAAGAAACTGAATACCCCCAAAAAACTCAACAATTAGTTCCAAGTAACACTCCATTTAAAAAATATAACAATCTAATGAGTAATAGTGTATATATGACAATAAATATCCCTCAAGAAAAACTTGAACTTAAATCGAGTAACGAAGATTTGCTTATGAAACTACTAGACCAACAAGCTACTCAATCTAAAATATTAGAACGTTTAGAACAAAGACTCAAGGAGATTGACAACGAGCGAAAAAAAAAATTATATCGTCAACCAATGATTAGCTCTAAACAAATAATAAGAAATTTTAGGTTTCATCTAGTTGTTTCGAATCACATGAGGAAGATTATAGATCCCATTCCTTAAGTAAGTAGGTAGATAAATTTTACCCAACTAATATATTTGTGCCTAGCATCGATTCTATATATATAAAACAAGTTAGGGAAACACATAACACCGTTCCTAGATTCCCTTATTCACATCAACTACAAGGTTATAATAATCTAGAACAAATACATACGTCTTATGATGTTTGTATGGTTATTAGCTTAGAAATGGATAAGGTACAACAATCCTACCCCGTAAACCCTATTTCTGATGAAGAATCTATGATCCTTTACCCTCACGATCCTAATATCCCACACAATGAGGAATATCTTTTTGATATGGCTGAAGATTATGATGATGTTGATAGTGTTCTAAAGCTAGATTTGGTTGAAGATAAATCATGTTGTAATGTCATTAATGTGGTTGTACCCATTGGGCATAAGGCTATAAAAGAAAATATTCTTGAAGACTCTAGGATGAAATTAAGGAAGAAGGATCGGAAAAAAAAAAATGAGTGTGCCATTTTCTGAGGAACAATTCTTCGATCTATTTTTATATGGCCCTTCATTAAACGAATGCCTTGATCTACTCAAAGATAGTGATGACATCACAATCAAAGAATAGTTGAGACTTACACCGTAGATTCACCTTTGGAACCTTTTAAACCTAACACTCCAAGTCCACACTTAAAAAATTATCAAATGGATTCTTTAATCATTAAAACAAAGCAATCCCACGAAACTATACTTGGTAAACCTGCCTGTGGTCTTGACCTTTTACCATCTTTTATTCTACAAGAATATCTTAATCAAGATCATAGGACAATTTCGCAAACTGACAATATCTACGAGCCCTACACTATTTTGGTGCAACCTAAACCTAGACACATAGATTGCTAGGTTAGTTTCCTAAAATTTTATTGATCATGAAGGAACAAATAAGTTATTATTATTTGAACCATTATCGATACTCCTTGAAAGGCATATGAAGTTTTTTATAAACCTTACATTAAACTTCAAATTAAAAAACGAAAAATTTCATAAGAATGTAAGGAACGACATAATATTATCTTTTGGATCAAATATTAATAAACCTTCACGAAAAATATTTCATCCACACATATTTTGTTTATTATTATATGAATAATATTAGTGGATAAAAGAGTGACTTACTAAGTTTTGGGGTGACAAAAATTGTCACCCATCATGTCTAGCTTAAGACGTTAAATTAAGAGCTACTAGGAGGCAACCTAGAAATTAAATTCAATATTTATAAATCAAAAAGAAATTATTACTATAACTACTATCTCAAAGACTTCAAAAAATTGATGATTGATAAACCATTTTTAAGAATCCTAATGGTCACATTAACAAAAAATTAGAAAAAAAGTACATAATAGAACCGTGTAGAATTCAACGAGTTAGGAAGCGTGGGAATATCTAAGTAAATTAAACTCCATACTTAATAGTTGTTCATATAAGTGAATTAAGGATGGAAAATGAAAAATTTATACATTAAAAAAAAATTTAATAAAATCTATAACTTAAAAAACATTCTATTTTCCTAAACACACCCATATAAACAACACTCATACACCTCCACCACTCAAAATTGAAACCTAGCCACCATCCCTCTCAATTTCATTCAATTTTCGATCGAACTTAAACAAAAATAAAAAAATTTAGTTTAGTTCAACTCGCCTGACGTGACATCGTTCCTTCTATCAACTAGCCCGCCGCGACCTAAGCGAAATTCACAAATTCTATTTTCAAATTTGTTATCTTTTTCAATTCGATTCTTCTTCCTATATTTTTAATGGTTCTGGTAGAGAAATCTTTACGAAAAGTATTTAAAGACCATGCTTATCGTCCATTCTTTCGAAAGAAAATTCGTCGAAGGGGATGGAACAAACTTTTCCATAGAAAGTTATAGAAAGTTTCTTGATATTCTAACTAAGACCAATCCTCACCTCCAACACCCAATCCACATATCTCTTTTCTTACCCCGCTACCCAAAATAGAAGTGAGGAGCCAACCAACAACGAGGATGAAGAAGAAGGGGATGAGAATGAGTAATTGTAATAGTAGTAGTAATAGTAGCATCTCGAATCTAGAGTTTTAAGATCGAGTCTAAATGTTTGTTTATTTTCAATTGTTTTTATTTATGTTTGAATGTGTTTATTTATGCTTGTGTTTGTTATTATTTGAGTAAATGTTGCAAATTTTAATATCCAATGAAATTCTCATGCATTAGTTGACTATTGTATGAATGAGAAAGTTTGTTAGTTAAATTCTTGTAATTTTAACTTTATAGTTAATTTTTCGAATTCCCACACTTATAATTCCATAAGGATATGAAACGTATTGTTTGGGGGTTCAGAAAAAGGTATTCAAGTGATATACATTACACTAACAATAAGTTATTAAGAATTGATTTTGACGGTTTTTGGTTATTCCCGATAATTTAACAGTGCTAATGAACCAAGCTGCAGAAACAGTTTAACTCTACCGGCACTATTACAAATAATTCCTTTTATGATTCTACCAACTAAACTAATCCTAAAACTAGTGTAGAGGCAAGTATCGGGGTATCGAATCCACTCACCCAAGAATTGGGTACTTAGCTACAAACATGAAACACTGATGAAGGATGATGTCATTTATGAAAGGATTGATGAATTGTAGAAGATTAATTGATTGAGAGTAAGTATAACTAAAATAATTTTAACGCAAGTAGAGTAAAGCAAGCAATATAAAATAAGGGTTGTAAATATGGAAAGAAAAAAGGGGTATTACTTCGTTTCATAGGCAAATGTCTAAATTAACTACTCATGTTTGTTTCCCATGTATCCAACTATAACTCATAGACAAAACAATAATTGATGACGAGTTCCCTTGCTCTCGACCCAGGAACTCGACCTCAAGAAGTATTCAAGACCTAGTACCTCTCAACTCGATGCCGTCATGCAAGTAGTGAATTACAACTCTTTATACTAATTGTTAACTATTTTCTCTCTCTTGATGCCAAAATATGTTAACGGGCGTATGAGGCTCGAAAGTCTCTACACATGCAAAAAGATCTTTCTTTTATTTATTATGAATAACAAAGAGCAAAAACTATTCTACGGGATCAATCATAAAATAGTAACCTTTCTAGCATGGCAAACATGGAACAATTGTACTAAATTCTTCTACTTACCTAATCCACTTGTAAAACCCCAAGAATCAATTAGCTCATGATAATTGTGGTGATGATGATAATGGTTGTAGAAGTAAAAGACATAATTAAAAGACAAGAATATAAAGATGGAAGATTAAATTACATTAAAAGTAAAGATACGATTGAAAAGTA